CGATGGCGCCGCTGGCCAATGGGAACTCGAGCAGCCGCGCCGCCCGCCCCGCCCCCCCGCCGAGCCGGCTGTCAATCACTGGGGCCCAGCGCGCGCGCCGGGCCACGCCCCCTCCCCGTCAGGAGGCGGAGCGGGGCAGACCACGCCCCCCCCCCCGGCTGTCAATCAAAGTGACAGACAGGGCCGAGGCCCCTCCCCCAGGCTGGCCGCGGGGCCGGGGCCGGAAAGAAAAATCGAGTTTTGTTCTTCTGTGCTGTGTCTGCGGTAAAACACCGCTGCGAACCCACTCACAGCGCTAACAAGAAGAAATGCTCCCTTAAAATTAGCTAATGAATTATAATTAAAACATGCGAGGCTGGGTCTGATGCAATTGCTGGGTAACTGCGTTCACACAGCCCAACCCAGCAGGTCCGCTCGGAATCACGAATGCTTCGGGTTGGAACCCCAGCCCTGCCACGGGCTGTGTTTAAATCAAATCAAATCAAACCTTTTAAAGAACCTGCATCCTGCTCTGTCCCAGCTCCACTCCTGGATGGTATTGCCATTGTCTTTTCCACAAAAGGAACAGCAGAAGGGGTTTGTTATTTTCAAAAGAAGCCCAGCCCTGGTTCTGTGTTGGAATGCAAACCCAGCCACTTTCCCTTCATACAAGCCTTGTCTTTGCAGTATCAAGCTGGCAGCTTTTTGCCCCTGTTCCAATTTGAATTCCTCTCTCGTTCAACAGCATCATTTCTGATCTTGGAACCACTTTTGGACATGCTTTTTCACAGCCTCACGATGGCTCATCACTGTGCTTTATCAACCACTAAATCTGTTTTCTTTTCTCACTAATTTCCAATAAAACACTCTTGGTATCCTCCACAGCTTTCTCCTTGTCCATAAATTCACGTCCTTGCACTCTCTGCTGCTACATTTCATCTCATCTCTATTTCTCACTCTTCAGGCATCCAACCTCCAAGATACTCCAGTTCCCTCATGTTATTGAAGCCTCCCATTTTGTTCATCACCAAATTTGATATTAATGCTCCCTCTTTGTGCCAGGATCATTATAACGAGGCTTTTCTAAGAGAGGGAAGAGCCCACCCCATGCCCTGGGAGGCAGAAATTTCCTATCAATTCCCCTGATTTCAAACCCCTCCATCATCACCTCACCATTTGTTATTTTTGCCTATCTCGCAGTTCCTACATGTTTGCATATAAAATTCTCAGTTGAAGTCCTGCTAAGTGAGAATGGTTCCATGTCCTTAGTGTAGAAACTTGGTTTATTGAGTCCAAAAGATGTTAGAGGCAGCTTGTGAGAGGAGCCAGCAGCTCCTGGCAGATGGCAGGAGACTCCCACCCTGTGCAATTCGCTCTCCCAGCTCCAACTGCCCAGGGTGTCTGGATTTCACTGAAGCTTCCCCTCCTTTACCAAATCAAAAATAGAATGATTTGTCCTTAACAGCTCATCACTTCATCCACCTGTCAAGCCTAATGTGTAAACCAACAATTTTATCTCTTGATTTGTGGTTTCCCCATTTTACAGACATTCTCACATCACTATCTACATGCAAGTGCCATCAGGACTTTTTTTGGACCACTACAGACTCTCACACCATTTTTTTCCCCCCCCCAACAAGCTGGTAAATCCTTCCTGAACTGGAATCCAACTTTCTACTAAAATAAGTGCCCCTTTTTTGTGTAACTTGAGAAAAAAATTAAATAATTCCTTTCTACCTTTTATTGTGTATTTAATACTGTGCTGATTTTGTGCATAATTACAGAATCCCAGAATGCTTTGGGTTGAAAGGGACTTCAAAGCTCATCCATTCCTACCCTGCCATGGCAGGGACACCTCCCACTGTCCCAGGAATGTCCAACCTGGCCTTGGGCACTGCCAGGGATCCACGGGCAGCCACAGCTGCTCTGGGCACCCTGTGCCAGGGCCTGCCCACCCTGCCAGGGAGGAATTTCTTCCCAAAGTCCCACCTAATCCTTCTCTCTATCAGTCTGAACCCAGTTCTCCTTGTCCTGCCATTCCAGTTGCTGATCAGGTTATTTGATTTACTCCAGCTGATATTCTGTGGTTTCCCACCTGGATTGGCCCCATCCTTCCTGAGCTGCAGCTTTCCAGCAGAGAAGCTTCACTCCTGTAAACAGCAACTGCAGAACATACTGAATTCTTGAATTTACTCAGATTGTCTGATGCCATTTCATGTAAATCATCAGTAAAGATATTCACAGACACTCTCCAGGAGCTCCTGTTTCCAGTCATCCCATTTGTTTTAAAGGAATTTTATAAGGCCTCACTGTTTAACGCTGTCACGCAGCATCAACCAAGAAAAGGAAGTGTAATCCCTATTTTAGGGACTTTATGGCATTGCACAGAGAGACAGTGACTTGTTAAAAGTTACACAGGAAGTCTGGAGTAGACCTTTGGGATTTAACTCCTGGCATCTTTTCCTAGTGTCTTAATCACTATGCCATCATCTTATTTTCTATTTTGGTAGTATTTCCATTTTCTGAAGCATACCTGACTCAAAGAGCCCATTTTCCTTGCTATCAGATGTACTATTTCTTCTTTCCTTCCTGCTTCCCCTCTTGTTTAGGTAGACACATCCTTCCTGGGGAGCTGAGCAGGCTCCAGGCTGAGCCTTGTCTCATGCCAAAACTTCCTTATTCTACATCTTGGACTCCACAGCCACAGAAGGGGGCGAGGAGGAGGAACTCTGTAACTAGAACCAGAGAATCCTTGAATGCTTTGGGCTGGAAGGACCTCAGAGCCCATCCAGGGCCACCCCTGCCATGGCAGGGACACCAAGCCTGGCCTTGGGCACTGCCAGGGGTCCAGGGGGTATCCAGTCCTCAAAGGATGCATGAAGGGGCTCTGCACCGTCTTCTGCAGATATAAGAGTAATCTCACCAATTCCAGGCAGTTCTGTCTCTCCTAAAAAATTCTTGTCGTGTTCTCAGCTTTGGAAACAAAGTGAATGGAACATCATCATCATTATCCAGCTCTAGGACAGCCTGGCAGGACATTTATGGGCCCGAATGTATCTCTGCCCCAGCAGAAGACCCGAATCATGTGGAACTCCTGCCCACACACCTCCAAGAGCCTCTGCCAGGCGGGAGGAGCAGGAGTGCTCCTGTCCCTGTCCTGCTGCCCAGGCCGGGCCTGGCTGCCAGCAGCGTTCCAGCAGAGGGGGCTCTCAGGCTGCTCAAAAACCAGAAGCTGTTCTGCCTTTGGAATGGCAAAATTAGAGAAGGAAAGGGAGGGAGAACGTTAAAAATATTACATGCTTTTAGATCATTACTTCCTCTGAGCTGACAGTCTGGACTGTTTCTAAAACAGCACAAATGAAAAAGCTTAAAATTAAATGGTTCTTCCAGTCACAGACTCCAGAATAATCTCAGGGACTGCTCTTCCCCTGCAGCTATTGCTGTGCATTGTTACCACAGAGGTTTTCTTTCAAGTATTTTCGAGCCATTTACTGATTGCTGATTAATGATGTGATTTTCACTTACAGCTGGCATCAGAGCAGGGACTTTCCCACGGTCACAGAGCAAGACAGCTGTGCCAGATGTTGGCTGTTCCATAATATTTACAAAAGGCAGAACCCCTCTCATCTTTTTTTCTACCTGTGTTCCTCTACATCATTTTATGGCACTTGTTTTGCCACACTGACAGGCGACCTGCTTCACCCATTATCCATCACCCCACCACTTTTTGCACAATTTGCACAGGCTGCCTCCTTCCACTGTAGTGGTAGCTGAGAAAGTTTCTCTGGAGTATTTCAAAGCACAGATCCAGGGGAAAAAAAATAATCTATGAGGATGCAAATACATTTCTAGGGTAAAAGACAAACAATTCTCAGAAAAAAAAAAAAAAAGTACTTTTTCTGAGCAGGGGTTACTAACACAAAGTCCATATATAGCTGAAAAACCACTGCAGCATCTTCGCAGGCAACTCTTTCCACTGTGGTCACGAAGCTTAATAAGCTTTTATTTCAAAGCCAGTACACAAAGAATTAGAAAGAAATCCAACCGTTTAGTTGAACTAGACTTAATCTAAATACTTAAGGAAGTCATCAGTCCTGTTTGCCAAGGCCTAAGGTACAAATTTCCAATCTCCACCACCCTATTCCCCTCTTGGTCCCAATTCCAGACACGACAGCAGTGACTGAGTGTGTAGAAAAAACACCTTTAAAGAGAGGTCCCCCTGCCCAGGAGAGACTTAAAGCTACAGAAGTGCCCAATTGCTTTGTTTTCACTTTGCCTATTTTCAAAACCTCTCAGAGACTAATTATTTGACTTCTAAAAAAAAAAAAAAATCTCTCTTCCCCTCATCTTAAAAACAAAACCACAGGGCAGATAATTCCCATTTGTTGTGCAGGGAGCAAGCAAAGTGCTGGAAAACATGAGCAGAAACAACACTGGAATACAGGGACCCCACAGCAGATTTTAAAGAAAACAAATATTTAATATACAGCTGCATTAACCATTCTGTTGGAGTTCTGTTGTGACTGGGCTCCTAACAGTGTAATTATCTGGGGATATTTGCAATTTCAGAGTAGCTGGAATTATCAGGTCTGTTTGGGTATTTGTAGCATGAGGGATCAATATCCTTTACCAGCTTTGCAGAGACACAGCAATCAGCCTCCTCTTACAGCAACAAACTCCACACGGAAGAAATGAAGTTCTTTGGTAGCTCCCTGCTCCCCCCAGGTTTTCACTCATCACACAGTGAACTGCAGTCAATCTACAAAGGTTCTGTTTTTATTACAAAGTATGAAAGGCCGAAAATACTGTACCTAATACACAGGAGGCCGAAACTTAGAAAGAAGGTTAAAAAATCTGAATAAAACTACATAGGAAGCAGGAAATAGCATAAAAGGATGCAACATTCCACTTTCAAGCGAGTTCAGAAAATTGCCTTAAAATTTACAGAGTTTCAACAATGTGGTTCCATGACTCAGGTGTTAAAATCCATTGTAACAAACCCTTTTATATTTTCTCCATAAAAATAAAGGAATATAGGGACACTGCAGTTATCCATGTCAACAATAGACATCTGTTGAATAGCAGGATACTGGGATTCCTCTAGGACAAAATAGTGAAGTTGCAGGTGGAGAAAAGGACAGAAGAAAAATTACTATTGCTTTAACATACTCTAGTGAGAACAAGAAGTCAGGAATCTCATATGGATGTTTGTACAATCATGCTACAAAGATTACACCTTCAGGAAATTACCACAACAGGACTGTGAATGGGAAGAGCAGAAGGGAAAACACACCTAAAAGGAGAATCTCCTACTCGGCTACTGGTAACAAAAATGCTTGGGTACAATGGATTTAAATTACATTTTACACTGCTAGCAACCCAAAGGTTAAAAAAAGGTTATTTTTAAATAGTAGAATTCATAATTCCTATTTCCCAAGTTGTCAGAAAGAGCAACATACCTTTTTCCAGCTGCACTGGGACTCTGTCCTGCTCTGGTTCTTGCCTTTCTGCCTTGCTAAGATCCCACAGACCCACCCTCAGCTCTGAGAGGGGGCTGGAGCTGCACATGGAAAACAAACTCCGAGGGATAGGAGCTGGACCAGGGGTTTACAGCTGCATATAGCCACAATATTTTGTAGGAAATGGCTTTTTTTCTTAATTTTGTTAGATTTCCTGAAAAGAAACAAACTCGATGGAAGCCACTGAGATAATTTTAATTATTTTTATGACTATGGAAATTCTCACTTGATGCTGAGATCAGAGGCTGTACAAAAGGCCACCGAGATCCTTGGCAGACACACTTGTCACCTGAAACAGGCAGCAACAACTCTCACAAGTGCCTTTGCATCTGGTGTCTGCCATGAGTCACCAGATGAGCCTTCAGTGACTGGGATTTAGCTGTGGTTTTAATTACTGTTCTTTTTACTGCTGGTGAAAGGTGCTGATTGGAAGTTCTGGAGATCTCTTCCAGAAAACAAACTGAGTCAGGGGCATCCTAAACTCTCCTCAATACCCTCAAGAATGAAACACTTCTGACTCTTCCTGGGTAAGCAGGGGAAGTACAGCTGCATCACAAAGTGCTCTTTCAGTGCCACATACAATTACAGAACAGTCAGTACAGGCTGGCTCTGGAATATTGGTCTGAGAGCAGAAAGCAGGAAACACATGTGAGAGAGAATTTGTGTTACCTGACAGGATGACAGTGGTGGAACCACTTTGCTACGAGCAGTGGGGAAACTCAACCCTTCAGAACCTGGATGGGACTGAAACTGTGCCGAGCCCAGAGCTGGCCTGGGCTGCTGTCCTTCCTGTGCAGGGTGAATGCAAAGGGTTAAAGCACCACGAGCAAGCTGCCAGTTCAGTGTTTTACAGACAGCAGCTGCAGTTCTTCTCTCACAAAATTCAAGTTATCCAAAGAATCCGGGTACATCCCTACACAACCAACCCAGCACTGTCACCATCACGTTCTGATGGTAGAGGATTCCAAACACCAGTGAAGCTCCTAAACAAAAAGGACTCCCTTGGGCTGGCCTTACAGGACAGTGTCAGATCCAGAACATGAAGCTTCAGTTCAACATTTACAGCTTTGTCAAGTGCTCAAAATTTTGGCTTTCAGTAAAAACAAGTGAGGGTCCACTATGTCCCCAGTTTAGGATTTTGGTGATGGCTGTTATTTAACATTTTCTACACAACATGGACAAGTGCCTACCCTACAAGGGCCGAGGAAAAGATGACTCTCCTCCTAATCTCACCACAAATATAATTGTTAAAGTGCCATCTGCAAGAGAACAAAAAGGACACACTCAGCTCCTCATTTCCATTGACAACAAGCATGAGAACATCTGTGAATTCCGTGCATCAGACTCCTCCCCTCACCTGCTCTGGCAGGTTATGATCTACACTTGAGACTGAGGCAGCTTCTCATTGCACCACGAAGCAAAAATAGAGCTTTTTGCTATTATCCAGAACATTCAGTAATTACTGCTAAGTTTTGAAAGGATCATTAACTTTGACTTATGAGAGGCAATGCTTCCCCTGTTAAATACATTTCAAGGTTCCATACCAACAACCTGTTTTAGCAGTCTCCTTTCCTATCGTTTGAAACCACTGTGGTTTTTTTCTAGATTGTCAAAGCACTCAAATCCTTGCCTTTTAAAATCCCTGCACACACAAGTACAATTCCCAGAGATGCAAGCTACCACAGCCCCTCTCATTTACACAATTCACAGAGTTGGCACACTACACACTAATTCAACATTCAACTTGTTAACTGGAGGTTTTCACCTCACTAACAACTTTTACATCATCAGCATCTCCTGGCTGAGAGTCAGCAGGCTGCCCACATAACAGCAGGAATCTGTGGAAAGCTTGGTTTAAACAGAACATAACCAAACAATAGTTTAGTCTCTTGAATGAATCAACTGGAGAAGTGATACAGAAGTATCTAAGTCAGAAGTATTTCTGTCCCAGAATCAGGCTGGCCAACAAAACTGAAGGTCAAGCAGGGGAAATGTGATAAACTGTATGTTTCAATTCACAGCTCCAGTGACAAGTCTCAGGGCTTGTTTTATCTTGCAGATGAACCTGGCCCACCAAGCAGAGCATTCCCTTCCTGCCACTGGGTCAGCAGCTGCTGGCAAAAGGGCACCAAAGTCCTTCCCTTCCTCGTCTGTATAAAGTGCCATTTGCACCACAGAACATCTCACCCATGAGGATTTTCACGTCTTTTCACTCATTAATCTTTCAAGTGACATATTTGAAGTTATTTTAAGTATCATTTCCCTGTGCCAAAACAGTCTCTAGTGATTTAAAATGTAATTTCATGTGAAGAATGACAATGGATTATGCCCAAAGCAATATGCTGTAGATCCAGAAGGTATCCCAACTGGCTAAAAAAACAGGATTTAGGCTTTATTTAGAGTCCACTGGAGCCTCCAAGATTCCTTCACTTGCCTTTGATGCCTTTGGAGTAAGTACACAATTCCACAAATAGACTTCCATCAGTTTCATGGACACTGGATCCTCTTCAGGTCCCTAACAGGATTGTTTTCCAACAGAAGCAGAATCTACCTGGCTATTTGGACCATGGGTCCCTTTATGAAAAATCTCTTCTCATCATCTTAGCATTCACCTTTGACTCATGCCATCTGTACAGGGATAAACTTTGAAGCAAAAAGTGGACATGGAAAGTACTAACACTGCAGGTAGCTCCCTCTTAGTAACAGCACGTTTTGCCTGCCATTTGTAATTAAGCAGAGCATGACAAGCCTGTGAATGTATTTCAGATGGCTCCTAAAGCTGTGAATGCCATAGCTGCCCCTGCTAAGAAAACCCCAATTTTCACTTCATTCTACTGAAGTTTTTTCCAGTTTCAGACGAAGTGCTATTGTAAGAAGGGATAACTAATTGTTTGGCTAACACTGCTCTGCCATCTAGCTAAAACCTGTCTGTGGAACACACTACTCTCAGTACTGCTGCTAATAAGAAAAACTGACCTTCAAGTCAAATCAAGCTTTGTCAGAAATCTCACAACTGAACACACAGAGTGTCACTGACAAAAAAAACATCAGCTTGAACAGTGTTAGTCTCTTGGTTCTCTGCTATCAAAAGCAGTGATGGAATACATCTGTCCCTAATGAATTCCTATCAAATTCCTGAGGCAATGCTTTTCTGAGCTCCATGGTGAGAAGCAGCCTGCAGAAGAGTATTTCTCTACGTCCAGAATGACAAAACTTTGCAGATTCTGTTCTGTATTTGACAGTGTTCTCAGTGTCAGCTTCACTGTTCCACAGCATTTGCTTTCCCAACTTGCCTTTCCTGCATAAACTGACAAGATGTAAGTTTGCCAGTGTCCTACTATTTATAATCTGCCTCCAATTGCAGGTGAATACTCATTAGGTGGAAAGAATTTTCATGGTTTCTGACATTTACATGGAAACTGGGCTGCACACCCTTCCAGAGCAGCTCTGGCTGTCATGTCCTCATTGGAGAGCACTGCAGAGCCTTCAGCACAGGACCTGTGTTAGGGGAAGACTTCAACAAACATTTTTATCTTGCCTAATCCACTCAGCTTTGATTGAACAGTATTACTGTAGACTGATCCACTATTCCAGACAGAAGCCCTCTGGCACATCCCCCAAATCAGGAGGATGACAAATGCCAAACCTTGGCCTCAATGGCACAGCTTCTTTCTTTCTAAATCCACCTTTGTGCATTGCAATAGGGAGTAATTTCTTCCAAAAAAACAGCTTTCTTTTGGATAGCAGACCAGCTTTTCTGACTTGTCTCGTTCATTCAACAAGACCTGGCAGTACAAAGCAAATACACTTCACAAAAAGATTGCTCTGCACTCCCTCCAAGACCTCCCAGGAACACAGGCCAAACACAACCTCCAAAGGACAGCCTAACCACAAAATCTTGCTCATATTATTTGCCAATCAAGCAAGCTACAAAGTGTGAAACCATTTTATTTTGATTTAGATAAGGTAAGTCTTCTGAGGGGAAATCATTTCATTGCAAGAGCCAATCTCAAATCCATTCCAAGTACATTTTTTCAGGAGTTGTTACCTCCTGGGAGCTCACGTCATGCACACATCTTCTTTCTCAACCTATCACCTGTTAGCTCTGCTTGCTAACACGACTGCAGGATGCACACAAACTCAGAATTTAAAAATAAGACCTACCATAGTAACAACTGCCTTGAGCATCAGAAAAGTGTAAAGAAATTGTGCAACAAGTACTTGTACTTCACAGCACCAGAAAAATTCTGCCCAGGTCACCAGATACAGGGAGCCAAGGCAACAGTTAATTCTGGCAGGCCTTTACTGCCAGGGAGCCTGCAGTGTTACTGTGGTTTGTTTCCATGAACAGGTCCTGCTTTGGACATGTGGAAGTGGATCACATATCAAAAGTAAGAATTCGGGAGAAAAACCTTACTCAATAGAAAGTTAGCCCAATATATAAAAAACATACAAACGTTTAAACAGTTTAGAGGCAGCAACAACAGGAATGAGAAAGATTCCTGCCAAGGTGGCTGTTGACATCATTGTCTTTTCCCCCCCACCTTGTTTTGCACCTGCATCTATTAAACTGGTGGATGTGCTGCCTCAGCTGGCTGACAAACACATGGACATATGCAGCAACTTAAAAGCCTGCAAGCTTATTAATACAGTCAACAAACAAATATACAGAACTTTTACTGAGGGAAAAAGAATTTCACAAGAAAACCAGAACCCAGAAGGTCCAAGAGGCTCAGCATGTCTCTGCATTTTAGAGTCTTGAGAGACAGGAGACCCCTGCCATCCGTTCTTGTAACAGTTCCTTGCAAGAGTAGATGCAAAGCAACAACAGATACTGGCCACTTGACTGGTGGTGCTCTTACTTGAGAGGGGAGGGGGAATGACACAGCCCTGCCTCACTGTGCATGAAGCAGCAAAGTTAGACTCTGAGGATCTCCAGGCAGTTGTTGTAGCAGATGGCTATCCAGTCTGGCTGGGTGGATGCCCACTGTACATTGTTGATCTCTCCCTCGGCTGTGTAGGCCAGGATGGGGTCCTCAATGGCACGAGGCATCTGCTGGATGTCCCAGATGAGAGCCTGGTGATCATCCGCTGCACAGACAAGAAATGCAAGGGCAGTCAGAGAGGAACAGCACCTCCAGATGTGCCTATGACAGGAGCCTAAGGAGCCAGCTAAGGTATGGCTGTTCCAGTCCTGAGCCACGTTTAAGCCAGACAGATACAGCAACACAATTATGCTCCAACAAAATAAACCTGGACCATTATACATTATCCAAGACAGAGCTGATAAACAAATGATTAGTAGAACTCATAACAGTAGAAAACATTTAAGAACTGGATTGCAAAAAAGCTAAGGAACATTAAAATAACAGGAGCTTAGCCAGAGCTGATGCACAGTTTGGGTACTGGGCTCACCACTTCCACACAATAAACTCTAGTGGGTGTCTATTTTTGTAACACTTTAGGAAAGTCACTAATAAAGGGCTTCTAAATTGCAAGCATTCTTTAGCAAAAGGCAGGCAGAGAACTGCATCAGCTTCAGGATGAAGAGGATCTTGCAAATGCAGTAAAGACTCCGAGATTCCCCTGCAGGTCATGCTTACCTGCTGTACAGATGTGGCAGGAAGAGTGAGGTGCCCAAGCAATTCCATTTACACATGCTCTGTGGTTGTTTAACCTGGCAACAGGGGTGCAGGGAACTCTGACATCTAGAATCACAACCTTCAGAAACAAAAACCAGCTACATTAATAAATTGCATTTTTAAAAATTAATTTATTCAAAATACAGAACATTCTGAGGTAAGGGTATAAACACGGCTCTTTCCTAAAGGATGTGGTTGGCAGCAAGCCCTGCTCCTAAAGAACAGCTTCCAGTTGGTCAGTGTGTCATGTGTCTCAAAAGAAGTCACACTTCACAGGGGGCTTGTGAGCTAGGCCACAGAGGCACACAAATTGTGCTTCCCTGAAGCAGCCTTGGTAACAAACTAAAATTGGACTGGGAAAGAACAAGGTGACTAAAACACCTGCAGTTAAGATTTTATGTGAAAATTATTGCCCAGCTGCTCACAGACTCCTCTTAAAAATCAGCTGAAACATACACAAGCCATTAAACAGAAGTTTTTACTGCCAAAGTCCCCTCTTTAACTCCTTAGGGCACTGAGAACTGGCCCCTGCCCCTTGCCCTGAAGTGCTGGCCGTGACTCGGCACCAAGCCTCGCCCAGCAGCCGGCACGGAGGAGCTGCAGCCTCACCTCCATGCCGTCCATGGCCATGGTGGCCAGGTAGTTGGGGTCCTGCTTGTTCCAGCAGAGGCGCAGCAGGGGGTGGTGCTGGGGGTCCTCGTAGATGATGGTGCTGTGCTCCAGGTGGCGCAGGTCGAACATCCTGACCGAGCCGTCGGCGCCCACCGAGGCGAACATGTCCCGGCCGCCGCCCGCGCGGCTGAAGGCGATGTCGTACACCTGCCCGCACACAACGCACGCATCACCTGCTTACTGCCCTCCCTGCTACTTCAGCTCTCATCTGATGCTCTAGCCCATCTCTCTACAATATTCTGCCGCACATCTCTTAAAACAAGCATGTTCTTGAGCCAGAGTCAATGGTGAGTAAAAAGAATTGTTTCAATTGCCAGCAGTATTTAGGGACTCAAAACTATGTGATACTAGAAGAACTGCATACAAACTTACATAAATGATCTTTCTGAATAATGAAATTGTTCAAGAAAAGAAAGCAGGAAAATGGAAAAGTTCCTTTTCTACTGCTTTAAAAAGATGCAACATAAGCAATCAAAACCCCCCATCACCTCTTTGTCATGTGCAATAAGCTGAGTCTTCACGTGGCCAGACACCAAATTTACTCTTCCCAGAACCTGTCCTGTCTCCAGACCCCAAATAGTGCAGGTTGTGTCAATACTAGAGGTACCTGAAACAAAACCACTTCAATCAGCAAAATTAATATTGTCACAAATGATTTAATCACTTCCTGGGTTAATGTAACATCCCCCAACACCTACAGATTCAAACAGCTGTGAGAACAGCATAGAACTGAAATCAAAAATGTCAAACAGCCAGCAGTCTTCCATGCATTTAAATGATCCCAACCTTTCAGCTGCAGAAATAGCCTTCCACACAGGAATAAAGTGCAAATAGCTCATGTCTGCTTCAATCTAGTCAGAAGCCTGATGCAACTCTGAGATCAACTTTCCCATCCTCTACGTCTCTTGTGCATGCCAAACCCCAAATTCAATCAGTGCTTTGATGGCGTGTTGTTATTAATTGATTGCTGCTGTGGGCTGAAGGTGGAGTTAGCAGTAAAGCTCTTAAGAGATGAAACATGTAACACACAAAAAATAAATCATGTAGTAAATAATTACTATCACATATTATCACTGTTAATCTCTGAGCAAATCCCCCTGACATAAATGGCTGCTCTCTTCTGGGAAACAAACCTCTGCATCAGTCACCCTGGATTCACAATTTGTCCTGTAGGCTATAATTAAACCTTAAGTGTTCAGCCTCCTCCTCCAACTGAATTAAGGACTCTTGGCACTCCTCCTGCTGCTGAAATGGCTTCACAAAGCACACAGCTCAGTGCACAGTTTTCTATGCACTCCAGAACACTCTGAAATAAGTCACAGAGCTGATGCACATCCTTACTCAGCACTGCAACAACAGCTCACCAGCCCTGAAGGCCAAGACTCCCTGTCCCCAAATTTCCCTAGTCCAACGTGAGTGACCCACTCTGCACTGGACAGGGCACCTTTCAGTGAAAAAAGAGTCTCCATGAGATGATTGTTTTTATTTTTTAATGTAAAACAGCAGCAGTTTCTACGATGCAGAAGTCTGTGGTTAATTATCAGACCAACCAGGGGACATGCAGTGACACAGCAGCAGTTACAGCCCAGACTTCATCAGACTAAATTCCAAAGTGTGTAAAAAACATAACATTTTGTCAGTCTCACCTAACAGGTAAGGATCCACTTCATTCCAGTCAAATGATGTCAGTGGAGCACAGAAATCTGAGTTCTTGTTGTTGTTCAGCAAACACTCCAGCCGGGTCTCAGTTTCCCCCACCTTTAGAGAAAATGAAACATCTGACTTAAAAAGCAACATCACCTGACTGGTTCCACTGGCACAAAACATTAGGAGTTAATCCCAGGTTTCTTTCCTCTCAGCTTTACATCCTAAAGCTCTGGAAAACACAGCCAGCAACTCCATTTTAACTAAGCTGATTAAAAAAGCAATTGCCAGGATAATTCTGCTTCTCTTATAGTCTTCCTATAGTCACATTATTGCAGTGAAGAAAATCTTGTGTGGAGTGAAAAAAGAGATCAATATATTACACAATTCATGTCCTGGTTCATCTTTTCCCAGGGAGGATTTACTCACTCTCCACACTCGCAGGTAGTCACCACTGGTGGCCAACAGGTCTGGGTAGACTCCCTTGGTGTCTGGGATCCACATCAGCTTCGTGGTGGGGTATGGGTGATCAAAGGTGTTCCTGCAAATGAATTCTGAGCTCTCTTCATCCAAACCAACAAGCTGCACCTGTGAGAAACCGTATTTAAAAGAAAACATTCTATCAAAATACTAATTCCTAACGACAGCATTAAGATTGAGTGTGTTTCAGGACATTTCTGTCACTTCAAGGACAACGTAAAAGGATCATCATGTCAATGAAATGAGAAATCATTAAAGTGCTGCTGGGGCATGTAAGTAAAGAGAAGTATCCATAATCACCACAGGGCTTTGATTTGAAGAGATGATCCCAAATGAACCGAATGAAATCCAATCCTAAAGGATTAAAGACCACCCTTCTCTTTTCCACATTGCAAAGCCCCATTTAAATTATGGGCTTCAACTGCACAAACATTATTCTAATTCATCCTTAACTGAACTGATGCTGACAATGTCATCTTCAGAGAGCAAACCAAGCTGCAGTTTGCACAATTAAAGCATGTATTATGGAATTCTTGGCCATAACCTTGCAGACTGTGATGGATCATGTCAGGTAGCTGGCAAGCTTTTTCAGCACCACATGACCCAAAATGTTCTGTCACAAGTGCATGAAAAACTCATAAATTAATCACATCAGAGAGGAAGAAATTAAAAAAATATTGGGGAGCTAAAATGGTTACATAATTATTCAAATGTTTTGTGTGAACAGACCAAGAAAACAGGCCTGTTGAAAGATTCTAGGTAACTGAGTTCCAAATTAGAATTTTTGCACAGTGATGTGTCAGGGGGAAGGGCTAAACTCTCCCCATTGTGAGAATGATGCAAAACAGAGCAAACAAGAAACTATCTCCACACAGCCTGGTCATGACAACACCTGAAGTCATGCTTGAAGTCCCAGACATGATGTTATTAGAAAAATATTGACATGTCAGTAAGTGTGCAAAGAGAGAACAGAAGGTGCTGGGAGGACTTGTTCAACCTGCAGTGACTACAGGACCCAAAGAGGATGAAAGTCCCACTGTGTGAAATGCTGCTCAAACACAAACATCACGGGGACGACTCACTACAATCACTTTGTAAGCTGCTCACAGTAGGAAATTCCTAGTGCTTTCCAAAGCAGCTTCCTCTTGGGAGCAGCAGCTTAATGGACTTTTTTTCTAAGATGTTTATCTGAAAAAATCCTAAATTTATGCTTATCCTGGGATAAGCAATTTGTCTAATAAACTACAGATTTCAACTAGATGGGAAACCTATCATATTTTTCCCCATAACAGGAAACCAACAAATGCTTCAGTGGATCTCAAAATCTAATTAATTTGCAGTTTTATGAGCTCATTTAGAGATTCTCTTAAATGCAAACCTTGCCCCGCCCCCTACAATGAGAAGATCCATCCTTTCCATCCCGTAACAAACACTAAAAGATGCAGCCAAGTATGCTCCCAAAAACTGAAATACAGCCTGTCTTGCCCTCTCTTTATTATAACTGCTCCTTATTGTCCTTCACACCCTAGGATAAATCAGTCAAAAATCTCCCAGACTTCTGAAGTGATTGACAAATAGCTTTCTAACTCCTTTAGGGATCACAAATACTAAGCAGATTTTACAAAGGAAGCGAGTTGTCCTTGGTGATAGAAAATCTTGTGGCAAGGTTAGGATCAGAAGACAAATGACCTCTAATCATTTCTGCTTTGCTTATGCTGTTTTCCACTCAACATGAGTGTATTAATCCTGCACAGAGCAATCAACATCGTCATCACCAGAGGCAAATCCCAAACAGCAAAGGATCCCCTTTCACTGGTGTTCATGTAAATATTCCTGCACTGTGTATTCACATTTAACCCCTCCTCAGACCTTAAGCTGAAGCAATTCAGCAATGCAGTATCTCTGATCTTTGACATGTTTAGCTGCCCTTTGTGACACAGATCCATGAGGGATTACAATGGCTGACTGCAGTTTCCCAGTCCAAGAAGTTTTGGAAATACCAACTCAAAATTATTTAATTCTTCCAACCAGAGCAAAGCATCTGCCTTCTCTTGGCAGTGATTTGATCAGTGAAGGTGTAAAAACTGAAACAAAACTCGCTGGGTTCAAACAGGAGCTTCAGTCTGTGCCACAGAGCCCACAGATGTGATGGCTGACAGGGTTAGAGGTGCCTGGGAACTGGGGTATCACAGAAAATTAGGGTTTGGCAGCCAAGAGGTTTGAGCTCCCCACAAAAGAGAGGTGTCAACAGACAGTTCATGGAACCTGTAGTACTTCAAATGCTGGGAAATTCTACAGAAACAGAAAAACAGAGACAAATAGAGACCACAACTTCCCACTCTTTCCTCCCCTAATTCCCCTCCAGTGAGCACTTCTGCAACAAACACTTGGGCATTGAGTCTTTTTAAAGAAATACTAAATGAGTAATAACGAAAAGTTATAGTCACTTATTTGGTTGGACTTTAAGCAAGCTACATTTTTCCAGACCATTTTTGTTACTATGGAAGAAAGCCACTGCAATAACAGGAACAGAAATGTTATTGGGACTTTGTCAGAAACCTCTGAAGAGATGAGTCCAAAGACTGTGAGTGCAAGGAGAAAGCCAAAATGAAAATCAGTTTTTATTATCCTTTTAATTAGTGCCAACTGCACCTATAAGCATGTTTTGATGACAGAAGCTGTAACATAAAACATCCCAACCGTGAAGGACAAATTATATGCAGAAGGACAAAACTTCACACCTACTCTGTAAAAAAAACTTGTATTTCTGCTAATTCCAGAAGTCAGGCTACAAACCCCACTGCCCCAGGCCCTTTGCTGCACAATATCATGGACTATTTAAATGGGAGCTTCTGTTTTTTCCCTTTGTTCCTCTGGTTATATCCCGTACAGGGACAGGAGCTGGAAGAGTTTACAACCAGCGTGCAGGTAGCACAGTTTTACAGTACCTGTCCAAGAGTTTCCAATCTGGAGCATGAACCTCCTCCCAGAATGTTTCACCACCCTCTAAAGGGCTCAGCACAGCTGAGAGTCATAGCAAGGCACCATTAAAACAGTGCAGATGAAACACCACTCTCAAGAGTATTCTGGTCCCCAAAGAAAAGCAAACAACATCAATACTCTGAGCAATAACAGCACTTGCAATTAGCCAAGATAGCTCTCTGTTAACTGTCTTCCTACGAAAAGCACCAAACAAGAAAACAAAAATAGAAAAAAAATCACTCTGAAATATCAGAGACACAGCAAATGAAGGCTACATTTCACTGCATTGATTGTACAGGTTTAATTTTTAATCATACATCATCTTCATTTCTATAGCAGCAGCAGCATCCAGACTTTTCTCATCCTCACACAGTTTCCAGCTCCTTACACCACACAGACCTCACAGCATTGTGGTGCTTGCACGGACTGAAGTCAACAGAATCATTGTTCCTGGAGCTCACAGGTCAAGAGAAGCCCTGGGTAATGTTTACAGACAGTGACAATTTACACAGTCCTACGCAATGTCTGTCTGCAACAACTGGGAGTGTGAAGTGTAGAAGAGAGGACTTGACTCAGTGGCTTTACACTGGAAGCTTGAGCTGAGAAGCAGATCTGACCACACTGTAACAGAGAGCAACCCCAAGGAATGCCCCAAAATTAAAGAGGTAAAGGCAACATAAATGTACAGCCCCTTATTAACCAACTGTGCCACCTCTAAACAACAACTGTTTGCAGATTTGCTATTTTGCCTTCTCAGAGTACAGACTACAAAAACGTTTCCAAGTTGATCTTTAAACAAATTGGAAGTTTTCAGGCTCAGGTCCTGCCTGTCCCCAGCAGCATTCCTGGAAGCACAGCACTCTGCAGCAAAAGGAGGCAGCTCTCACACAGGGCCCACGCTGCCTGAACCACAACACGCTCAGCAAAGCCACGGCTAGGACTGCTGCAAGGGCAGTGATCTCACCACTCCCTCGCACACAGCCCCATCCCAAACACCAACTCTCCGACAGTATTTGCCACAGTCTCCATTAAACACCTGGACAAGGCTACAAAGTTACATGCTATATAAACCAAGCTCTATTGGCAAACCTTCAGCTTCACAGAAATTTCAGGATGCTCTATAATTTCATCCACCTCCTCATCTCTCCTCTATGTAAATCATTACACCAGACCTGCCCCTTGAAGGCTGTTCAGAAGTGACTGCACACGTGTTCTGAGAGATGAACACAGTTTTTATTACCACTGTGACATTCTTCACTTCCATTTTGCAAGGAAACACCGAGGATACAATCTCATGCCTCATTACACCCTTATTCCCAGGGAAAAGTACTGAGGAATCACTGAGAGTGGTTTATATACTCAAGAAAAAAGTTATCACACAAGAGTTCTCCACTGCAAGAAAGTACAATGAGAACAGCACGTGTCCCAACAGTCTCAGACACCCTGTACATGACAGAATCACAGAACTGCTGAGGTTGGAAGGGAACTCTCAAGATGATCCAGTCCAATCCCCCTTTCTCCGCAAGGTCACCTGGAACAGGTGACACAGGAACACGTCCAGGTGGGTTTGGAACGTCACCAGAAAGGGAGACTCCACAAGTTGCTTGACCAGCCTGTTCCTCTGCTCTGCCACCCTCCATGGAAAGAAGCTCTTCCTCAGATTGAGGCGGAACTTCTTTATAACTATATGCATATATATGTACAAACTTCAGTCCTGGCCACGAACTTCCCTTTGTATTGACCAAAAAGCCAGATATGCTCAAGCGGGGGGACCTTGTTCTATGTCTATAGCAGCAGCACCCGGACTCATCTCATACTCATACCTTTAGTTTCCAGCTCTTTACACCACAGGGAACTCACAGCCCGCAGTACTTTTGTGACCGAAGTCACCACAATCGCTATTCTCGAAGCTCAGAGGTCAGGAGAAGCCGTGCAGCAGCATTATCCCGAAACCAGCAGCACCCAGGGCTCTTGCCACCGCAGCCCCGCAGTGTCCCCTCACCTGCGGGCTCGCTGCAAGGGCCGAGCCCGGCCCGGCCGAGCGCCTGCAGCGCGGGGGCACCTGACACTCGGCTCCGCACAGCTCCGGGCGGCCCCGGCCAGCCCAGCCCCGCTCTGCCCCACAACCTGCGCCCACCTTGTTGTTGTACTCCTCTACGAAGCTGCCCAGCGCCAGGCGGAACCGCTTGTCCGGCCGGACGCTCCAGTTCATGGCGTACACGGTCCAGGGCGCCTCATATTTGTAGATCTCCTTCCGCTTCCCGTGCAGCGACATGGCTGGGCCGAGGGGGCCGCGGGCCTGGCCCAGGGAACCTGCGGGGGAACACGGCCGGAGAGAGCGGGGAGGCGGCGCGGGCCGGGGGGAGGCTCGGAGCGACGCCCGGGCCGGGGAGCAGAGCAGGCACGGCACGGCCCGGCCCCCTGGGTGGCGGCGAGCGGGGAGGCTCGGCTCGGCTCTCGGGGCGGCAGGGCAGGCTCGGCTCGGCCCCCGGGGCGGCGGCGCAGAGCGGGGAGGCCCCGGCTCAGCCCCCGGTCCCGGCGCAGACCCGGCGGCGGCAGCGGCGCTGAGGCCGTTGGGGACTCGGCCTCTCACACAACGGGAACGGAAGCCACGCGGGGAGCCCCGCCCGCTGCGCGCGGGTTGGGTGCCTTGGCTGCCATGTAGAGCGCCGGCTGCCTATTGGACAAGCTGCCTGCGCGCTCGGCCCGCCTCGCCTTTCCATTGGCCCTTGTGCCCTTCACTCCAAACGGACGCTCGCGCTCCGGCTGGGGTAACCTACGGCTGCGCTTGGCCCCGCCCGGGAGGGCGGGCGCGCTCCTTGTCGACATCGTATTGGCTGGCCGGGGTCGCAGTGACTGGAGGCGGGATTTGAGCCCTTGTCGGTGATCGATTGGCTGGAAGTGATGTCAGTCACGCCAGCCCGAGGCGGGTGGGGCCACTTCGGGCGCAGGAGGGGCCGCCAGTTCGAGTCCCACCTCGGCCGAGTGGCGGACGGGGCCGGACTGGTCTCTAATTAACAGGAGGTTAATTATGGTGTTTATTTTTGGAAGCAGCACTCGGCGCCTTAGTGGGGGAAGCGAGGCTGATGGGATCCGCTGCCGGGGGTTTGGGGGTCCCGCCCGTGCCGTCTCAGCCGGGATGCAGGGGCGCTTTGGGCAGCGCTCTGCTCCTTGGGGTCCTGCTCACTGCAAGGACTCTGGGTCTGACCTCTGCCCGAGCTGTGTTTGTGAGATCATTTCTCATACGCAGCTAACCCGGCTTCTGGAAAAGCTTTTCCAAATTACTCCCGTGCGTCCTTTGGGAAGGGATTGCTCGGCCGAGCCCCCGCAGGCTGCGCCCTTGACCTGACTGCACATGGGCTCTGCCAGCCCCGCACTCCTTGCGTGAAGCAAGCAGGGTTTGACCACAGCCCTTCGGGGGTGAAGATACCCGGGATGAATTCATGGATGCTCCCAACAAACACAGCTGTAATTCGCATTAGGTGCCAAAAACATCTTTATTAGCAAAGTGTACACTAAAACTCCAGAGAAAGAGATGCTCACAGTTTGCCTACTCTCAAAGGGAGCTCGATACATTATTGAGCTGGCGGCCTAGGACTATCACAGCATCTACCCGAGCGGCGAGGCGGCAGCGCTACGTGGGCGTCTCCTACGGGAACGCTGTGGAGTCTGAGAGAGCAGGGCTGGGCAGGAGGAAGCACCTATTGAACCTTTATCAAAAGAGAGAAGCTGGGAGGGAGGACTGGACACCGGGTGTCTGGGGCTTTTCAGCTTTCTGGGATTGTGCTTTTGAATTTTGTGCTTTATGCCCAGGCCAGTGACGAGATGGATTTACCTGGCGAGTTGTGGGATGTGTGTTGGGGTTTGCAAGGCATGATCAGCCTTGCTGGAGAAGTCAGTGTCCTGGGGCTCGTGCTGAAGCAGGCTGAGGTGGCAGGGGCTGTGGCCCTTTCCCTCTCAGTGGCAATCAAGTAGGACAAGCTTCTGTCCCCCGTCCTTGTCCTGGGCTTGCCACCTGCAGTTTGCCCTGGACCACACCGTGGAGATGCCCCACTCCTCCTCTGTTACCACCCTTTCTGTAACACCTGCGGGCTCTGCTGGGCCGAGCCTTGTACCAGCACAGTGCTCCCTGCTCCCGAGGTTTCCAGCACAGCACTCCCTGCTCCCGAGGTTTCCAGCACAGCACTCCCTGCTCCCGAGGTTTCCAGCACAGCACTCCCTGCTCCCGAGGTTTCCAGCACAGCACTCCCTGCTCCCGAGGTTTCCAGCACAGCACTCCCTGCTCCCGAGGTTTCCAGCACAGCACTCCCTGCTCCCGAGGTTTCCAGCACAGCACTCCCTGCTCCCGAGGTTTCCAGCAAAGCAGCCTCGCAGCTCAGAGCCGTGGGTCTGCTCTCCTGTGGTCGCTGTGGCTCTCTTGGCTCGTGCCCTTCTCCAGAGGCAAGGAGGGGGCGGTGGGAACCACGAGGCCTAACCAGCTCATGGTGGCTGTAAGAACTGTTCTAGGTTCACTCTAATGTGCAAATGGAATCTACTCTATGGGAACCGCTGGAAAACGTTGACCTTGGAAGCCAGCCACTCTATACTTCCTGTCACGGTGGCAGAAGATAGCTACAAATTAAACCCCTGAGCCAATGGCATTGTCCAATGTCTTACCCTTGCAGTCAAAACCAACGTCAACTGAGCAGGCTTGCAGTTGAGGTTCCTCTTGACTCGCCCCGCAGTCCCCACGTCTCTAACTCCCAGGAAGCACGGGGTCGGAGAGGTGTCTCTGAATGTCCTGGTGCTCGGAAGATGCCTCCAAGTGCTCAGGGAGGGAAGGGAAACGAGAGCCCCGCAAGAGTCCCTGGGTGTTTGGTGCCCTTTGGTGAGGAGGCTCTGGGTGAGGTGGGGAGCAGTGCTCCTGCTCGGAGTGGGTGGTCGTGGTTTTGTCAGATGACACAGACTGCTGCATCCCACTTGACAAGGAGTCTCTGGATTTCAAGTGGAACTTCTCTACCTCCGTGTAGCTTGGGCTCTGGTGGGAAATGAGGAATTGTGTGGGTTATGGTAAAAGCAAAACAAACACGCTCTTTCCTCATCAGCCTTGGAACCTCATCAGGCTCTGAGCCCCAAAATATTATTTTTCACTTGAGGAAGCCTCAGAGCAGAGGAACCCACTTCCTTCCCCACTGGTGGGGCAACCTGGCAGTGTTGGGGATGGCAGCTGTGCCCCAAAACCAGTGATGCACTGGGCAGGTCTGCTCCCAAATCAAGACCCCATGGCTTTGCCGGGACCCGTGAGTGTTTGGCTCTTGCCTGGAGAGCACTGAGGATGGGGCAGGAGGGCTGCCCTTACCTGCTCCTGGCTCGGCAGCTCCTGCTCCTGCAGAGGGGCACAGGGGGCGAGCGGCTCCAGGCTGCGCGGGGCGAGGCCGTACATGGCCAGGCTGTGGGAGCTGGGCGAGATGGGGCTGTAGGCGGGGGGCACTTGGGACAGCTGGCGCTGCAGGAGCTGCAGGATTATACTGATATCTGACGACATCCTGGACTCCAGCCTGGGGACAGAGCAGCCCGGCGTTAGCAGAGAGCCTTTGCATCCCGCAGCAGCTGGGCAGGGCCGGCGCTGGCAGGAGGTGCCCACCCCTCTGCCCCGGGGCAGCCAGGCTTTGCCTGCTGCTTGTGGAGGTTTTCAGAGAGCTTCAAAGCAGCACTGCCAGAGAGAGATCAATCCTGCCATCTCTCTCCTGCCACACTCAATCATCCTCTGCCCAATTTTATGTGGAGCCAAACTGGGATCTGGAGTGGGAATTTGAAAAAAGCTAAAATTACCCTGGAGGGGGGAAAAAATTGCAATGGTTAGTTTTAATCTGGATCAATTCTTCAGGCCAGCTGCCTGTGCTGACAGATGGAGCAAGGCAGGTTAGTGCCAACCACTTTTAACTCAGGAACAGAAGGAAACAGAAAAGTAGAAGTCTCTTCCTTCTGCCTTGTCCTTGACTGCAGTGAACAGCTCTGGCAGGACACAGTCCCAGCATCACTTACAGAGCAGGCAGATCTGTCTCCCAGTGCTAGGATGGTGCACTGGAGAGACACCTAAACACAAGTGTGTGGTGAAATGACCTCAACAAGGGCACCAGAGCCCCACACTATCAGCCCCTCCAGTGGGTGCTGCGTGGGGACCTTAAACCTGCACCTCCAGTGTGGGCTCCTCCTTCAAAAATCACAGAATAGTTAGGGTTGAGAGGGATCTTAAAGCTCATCCAGTTCCATCTCAGCCATGGGCAGGGACACCTTCGTTAGAGCTGCTCTAAGCCCCGTCCAACCTGGCCTGGAACACTTCAGTCATGCCTGTGGATGGGGGTGGTGACAGGTGCCAAGGGTGGTGGCACAGCAGCAGATGAAGGGCTGGGCTGCAGTCAGGATCAGGGCTTGCCCTTTGAGAAGCCGCTGCATTTGCAAAGCACTCCCACCCCGTCCCCAGGAATGCAGTGTCCCAGGGGTCAGGACGTGGCGTTGCTGCACACAGAGCCCACGGCAGCCACCTCTAGAAAGCAGAAGGTGATGGCCCAGAGTCCCCCAGGTCCTCTCCAACCCTGCCCACCTGCTGAGCTGGGCCTGCAGGAGCTCCAGCCTGGACTCGATCTGCCCTGGCCTGCAGTCCCTGTGCAGGGGCACGTCCTGTGAGCTGTGCACCAGCGAGATGTGCTGCAAAGGCTCTGCAGGGTGGCTCGGCTGCCGGTCCTCCCAGAAGGTGAACATGTTGGGAATATCCAGGGGAGTGGCTGGAAGGAGAGGAGACATCTCTGCACTTGTCTTACATCCTCCAGTCCCACGGGTATGGAGGTGCTTCAGATTCTGTCACCTGACACACATGGAGAGCCA